ACTCCGAGGAAACAATCCCCGATGAAGGCGGGGGAGGCGGAGGACAAGACGAACAGGCGATCTTCAGAGTCCCCGACAGATGGCAAGACCTCGGAGGAAGCAGCGTCCCTGTCGGCGAAGATGGGGGGGCTGGCGTTGACGGAGAAGGAAGCCGTTGGTTTGTGTTTGATGATCCAGATCCAAGGACGAAGATCGACATGAAGTGGGTTGTCGTCGGCAAATCTTTCTCCCCACGCCTACTCGTCAAGCATGCGTTCAAAAGAGCGATGCAGCGTGCATGGGGGTTGCACAGGGACGCCCAGTTCAAGATGCTTGGCGGCAACATGTTTATGATCAGATTTGGCAGCGAAGGGGACTGGAAACACGTTTTGAACAACGGCCCTTGGCAGTTTGACTTTAATGTTGTAGCTCTGAAGGATTATGATGGGGAGACCAGGCCGTGCGAGATGATTTTTGATTCGATTGAGGCTTGGGTTAGGGTTGATGATTTGCCTCTGGATAAAAGATCGAAAGCTTTTGGAGAGGCTCTTGGAAATTGGCTCGGAACTGTGGTAAAGGTTGACGTGGGAGAGGATGGTTTTGCAAGAGGAACTCAACTCAGAGTGCGGTCGAGGATTGCTTTGTATGAGCCACTCGTTCGTGGTTTCTATTTGAAGAAGAAGCCAGATGATAAGGAACAAACGTGGTTTGACTTTGCGTATGAGAAAGTCCCTCACTTCTGCTTTGACTGTGGCAGGCTAGTGCACGTGGATGGGGTTTGTGACCCACCTGTGGACCCATTGTCGCAGTGGGGTGAATGGCTGCGTGCTTCGCCAGGTAGAGCATCGTCGAGTCATCAAGATAAGAAGCAATGGCGAGGAACTTCCGGTAAAAATGATAGCAGGGATAGCTCTATGTCAAGTGGAGGTGACAATGCATCGAGAGGCTATGCGCATGTGCGTGATCTCCCAACCCGTAGATCCCTCTACAAAGAATACACGTACTCGGCTGATTCCCACACCGGTGGGACAAAGCAGAAGGAAAAGGAGCAGCAAGAGGTTCAGAGCCCGCAGAAGAAGCACACTGGTGCAGACAGGGCAAATGAGAAGGATCTACGGGAAGGTTTAGAGGAGAAGAGGGAAAAGGGGCTCAGGAAAGAACTACATCAGAAGGTGAGGGAGGGGGTCATATCCCCGAGGAATAATCAGGACAATGGAGAGGGACAGTACAGAAGGGCAGAGAAGGCACCGAAGGAGTACTATAGAAGGCCTGGATACTACGTGAGAAAGCCTAGAAGCGATGTGGGGTCGTTCCGACAACGGGAGGACCACCACTGGTATGAAGCTAGAGACAAAAAGAGGCCATCTAGGCAGATGTGGGTGCCGGTAGGAGAAGGTTCTCGGAAGGAAGGTGTTGATGCTCTCGTTGGCGAAAAGCGACAAAAAGTGTCGTTTGTCTTTGAGCGCATTGGTGATCATGGAGCTAGATCGGCAGACCCCGATAGGCGGGGCCGCCGGGAGCAATGAATCTTCTCGTTTGGAACTATCGGGGATTGGGCTTGGACCCGACAGTAGGAGAACTGAGGAACCTGATTAGGTCATACAGCCCAGCGGTGGTGTTCTTGAGCGAGACTAAGAAGAAGGCGCGAGCTATGAAGAAGATCAAGTGGAGTTTGGGGTTCCGTCATGGTGTTGCTGTGGACTGTGAGGGCAAGAGTGGTGGATTAGCTTTACTTTGGAGGGATCATATTTCTATCACAGTTAGATGGTGGTGCCAGTACTATATTGATGCGGAGATCTCCTCAGAGGGAAGAACCGTTAGATTCACTGGAATCTACGGAGAACCACGAACGGAGCATAGACGGAAAACTTGGGATGCACTTCGTTATTTGAAACGACACGACAACTTGCCTTGGCTCTGTGCGGGAGACTTCAACGAGATCCTTTTCCAAACAGAGCAGAGAGGTGGAAATCCTAGAAACTTCAACCAAATGGAGGACTTTCGGGAGTGTCTTGGTGATTGTGGAATAGCTGATTTGGGGTTCACTGGATACCCTTTTACGTGGGATAATAAGCAAGATGGAGGAGCAAATATTTAGGTCTGGCTCATGCAATGACGATTTTTTGAGCCTATTCCCGGAAACGGTGGCTGAACACGTTCTCACAGAGGAGTCAGACCATGCGGCGCTGGTCATTCGGGCAGCGTTATCACTGGATGCTGCGAGGCCTAAAAAACATATGGGTTTTAAGTTCAAAGAAGCATGGACCAGGCATGATGATTACGAGCATATGATCATGAGGGCATGGGAACAAGCCAATCGGCAGCAGGGTGAGTCGGCGAGGCTGTGCAGCAAGCTGGGCGCGTTGTCCAAGGCCATGCAGACGTGGAGTCGCGAGGTGTTTGGTTCTCTTCGTAGGCAAATCAGCAAGCTTAAAATGCAACTACATGACGCGAAGGTGAGATTTCTAGTGACTGGTTTCTTTCAGGAAGTCAAGGATATAGAGAGCCAGCTTCATGATCTGTATGAGAAAGAAAAGATCTATTACAAACAGCGCTCGCACATTGATTGTCTACAGTGGGGCGACCAAAATACAAAGTACTTCCAGAATTGGGCTTCTCACCGGAGGAGGAAAAACACGATTAAAGCGCTCCGTAGGGAGGACGGTACACTGTGCAGTTCTGATGATGACATGCGGGCGTTGGCTGCGAACTTCTATGCTACTTTGTTCAGATCGGAGGGTTCGCAGGCAGTAGCCAATGTTCTCCAACATATTGAGATTGTTGTCATAGAGGAGATGAATGGGAAGCTCACTGTCGGGGTCTCCGACACTGAAATAGAGACAACGCTATTTCAAATGGGCCCTACGAAAGCCCCGGGGCCGGATGGCTTCTCGGCCTTGTTTTACCGACGACACTGGTCGTTGGTAAAAGAGGACGTTTGCAAGGCGGTGAAGGAGTTTTTGCATGGGAATGCGACACCAGAAGGTTTCTACGATACGATTATTGTGATGATACCAAAAATCAACTCACCGAAGTTGTTATCTCAGTTTAGATCGATCAGTTTGTGTAATGTACTCTACAAAATAGCAACAAAGGTTCTTGCCAATAGGCTCAAAGGAATCCTTCCTGTTTTGATCTCAGAGGAGCAAAGTGCCTTTGTACCAGGTCGGCTTATCACGGATAATGTTCTGGTCGCATATGAGTGTGTACATGCTATTCGGATGAGGAGGAGGAGGAAGCCGTTATGCGCGGTTAAGTTAGATATGATGAAGGCTTATGATAGAGTGGAGTGGATATTTCTGGAGAGGGTGTTGGAGAGGTTTGGTTTTCATGCAACATGGATTCAAATGGTGATGAGATGTGTGACATCGGCAAGGTTCGCGGTGAAGCTCAATGGAGGGATCTCCGATCTTTTTCTGCCGTCTAGGGGACTCAGGCAAGGTGACCCTCTATCGCCATATTTATTCTTGTTCTGTGTGGAGGGTTTCTCGGCTCTGCTTAAGAATGCACAACGTTCCGGCGACATGAAGGGGGTGTCTTTTGGGAGCACTGGCCCCATGGTCACCCACCTCCTATTTGTGGATGATAGCATTGTGTTTCTTGAAGGATTTGACAATAATCTTCTTGCCCTTAAAGCAATCCTTGGGGAATATGAGTTGGCATCGGGACAGAAAGTAAATATGCAGAAATCGTCCATC